CCACCATACCCCTTCATGAGGTGGTCGATGGCTGCAATCGGCCCGATGCCTAAATCAGGTTGCAATCAACACATCCTGGTCATGACTGACTACTTTACAAAGTGGGTCGAAGCTAAAGCATATCCCAGCATAAAGGCCTCCCATCGCGTCAACTTTACAAAAAATTTGTGAGGGCTGGGGAATACACATAAGTTATTTGATGCCTTGCTATCCACAAGGGAATGGTCAAGCAGAGGCCTCTAATAAAACCATCATCGACAGTCTTAAAAAATGCCTAACAGACCTAGAGGGAAGTTGGGCAGATGAACTAGATGGGGTCCTTTGGTCTCACCGAATGACTCCACGAACCGCAACAGGAGAAACCCCATTTTCGTTATCTCACGGCTGTGAGGCTTTAGCACCTGCCGAAGTGCATGTACCAAGTGCTCGGCGAACCTTAATGGTTCAGAACCCGCAGCTAAACGGATGAAAAACTAATCAATACTATAGACAACGCAGAAGAACTTCGCCATAAAGCTATATTGCACATTTAGAATTATCAGCAGCAAGTTTCTAGGTATTAAAACAAGAAAGTCCGAAGCCGACTGTTCTCGCTTCATGATCTCGTCTTACAAAAAATAAACCCGACGAAGCTCGAAGAGAATTAGAACTGACTATATCGCATCACAAAAATCGTCAAACCCGGCGTTTATAGACTGGAAACAATGGAAAGAGAACCAATAGAGCGAGCTCGAAATTCGATGAATTTGAGAAAATATAGCTCGGCATATAAGCGCACATTTGTTAAGAACTACAGATGACTTGATCCCAAATCGGGTACGTAGGCAGCCTTCGGGTCCAGTCATAATTTTAATAAAATTATCTTTATCTTTGCTAACCAGCTCGGCATTCAAAGTAAAGGGGACCCGCGAAGTCTAAATCGACTATAAATAAGCTCGGCGATAGAGTAAATGCATTTAACTAAGTAAATGTGCTTGCCAAACATACGACTCAAAAGCAAAATTAATTCTGTGGCTGATAGCCACTCCTTTGAAACGTAGGTTCAATTTAATCACTTCCAAAGTGGATAAGATGAAAGTCAAGGACAATACTCGCACGACACCTGATCATACCTTTTCGGGCCGAAGAGAATCCCAAAAAGTTTGATATTCGATCTTGATTGCCGTTTGGTATAAGACGAGCGAATGAACCTCCCTTCCAGCACCGGCCTAAAGAATGCCCCCGCACCGCCAGACAAAGGAATTATTTCACTTTGCAAATCTCTCAAAGATAAGGGTTACCTCGTCAACGAGTGTTCAAAAGTGCTAAAACGTTACTTTCATTTGAAATATTTTTTATAAAAACAAAACGTCTATCTTGCATACATTTTTCTAAAAACTACAAAGAAAGAGCGCCAAATAGAAAAAAAAAAAACAAAAGGCTCAGCGCTGCTTCGGCATTTGAATCCCAGCCGCCTCTAACTCTGAGATCGAAGGTCGCATATGAGCCTCCGTCGGAGCAGCAAAGTCGTCCTTGGTAATGGGAGCATCCTTGATACATCCACTTTCAAACGATCGGCGCTGGTAGAATAAGACAGAAGATCTTTGACCGAGACTTCGTGCCTCGCAGTCCGCAACCGTTTATAGTAGTCTGCCCTCGCTTCGGCATCAACAATCCTCAGCTCGAGAATATGAATGTCGTGCTCCTGCGACATAAATGCTTTTATCTGTTCGATACGAGGTCATACCACTCGTGAGAACGTCGGTACATCAGGTCAATGACATAATCGATAGACTTGCGGTGCTGCTCTCAAAATTCTTTCTAAACTGCAGAAAATTCTTGGTCTCTTCAGCCGCCTTCTTCTCCAAACCTTCCATATGGAGCTGGTTTTCTTTGGCGGACTCGACATTAAGAGTCTGACACTTATGGTCCAAATCGAGCGTTTCACGCCCTAGCTCCTTGATCCTCGCCGATGCGTTACAGAGCTCTCGATCTTTGGCTATTAACTCCTCGGCTCTATTCTCCTCCCATGAGAATTCTTGATCATATGACTCGATAAGGGACGCGCATAAACCCAAACCCTGCACGAAACGCTGAGCCATTCTAGAGAATCCTGTGAATCGCTTAAATTTTTTCAACCGACATCCCTTGGTTCAGCTTCATCCTGCACTGCCAGATTAAATTCGACTCAAAATATTCATCAAACATCGATGGGGAATCTCCATTCCAGTGGAGCAACAATTGGTGGGGATTGAAACCTGGATCCTCATCAACACCCTCTGAGTCCTTCGGTAAGCTGCTCGTAGGACTTGATGAATTAGTTTCCTGCTCTTCCGCCATCGTAAAAATGGAGTCTTGCTCCTCGATTGGCGATGCAACCTCTGGATCCTCCATCAAGATCTTTGAGAGAGAAGATTGCGCATCTGTAACAGCAACGTCGGGCTTATCTAACAAAATATCTTCAACAGCGGTTGGATCTTGGGACGAAGCCGCGGGTCTGGGCTTCTTGTTCGGAGAAAAGTCAGGGATGTCAATATCAAATGAAGGAATCGTGTCTCTCTTCCTCAATCTCATGCTTCGAAAGAGATGCGATCGATCATGATCTGAAATCAAAAAAGAAAAAGGAAGATCGGCGAGCAAAGGGGATTATCGCGTTTACAAAGCAATCTAAAGAAAGTAAAACCCTTGGGAGCAAGAAGATGAAGAGATAAATATTCAGTAATAAAATCAGAAGAAATATCAACAGTTCCCTTAAAAGACGCGTGTCGAGATTCGCACAATCTCGCCGTCTGATAAACCTTTGGCTTTTCCGCTTGAAGTAAAACCCTAATGAGTCACATATTTAAATAAATTTATTTAAGGAAGGCGCCACGTGTCGAATCCACTAAAAACGGGCCGAGCTGACCATCACAGAGAAACACTCTTGACGAGCTGATGCTTATTGCAAGATCAAACCTACTTAACTTCATGAAGTCCGCTGAGCTGATTCACAATCAGTCTTGCCGAAAATATGGGGGGGGGGGGGGGGGGGGGGGGGGGGGGGGGGCACATTTTCTCTAGCAATAACCTAAGCCCATCAAGACCAAGAAGACTGCGCCGACGTAGATCTAAAAAGAAAAACCTCGAAGCTAATCTTCAAACTCCTGAAGAGTCAGATCAGCTCAAAGGAATATTCAAGGATAAAGGAGAATTTCCATATTCTTCGGAGAATAAGAGATATTTCCATATCGCAAATATGGAAATATTCACCAAAGGAGAAAATGAAAAGGAGCTCGCAGCTACCGACCTTCTATTCCTATAAATAAGAAGACCCGGAGCACAAGAAGGACAACTCATACAATCTAGAAAGCAGTAGAGCTAAGACCAAGAACTCTAACGCTTTTTAGTTTACCTCAAAAACACTTTCTTTTCACTTTGGCATAACCCCTCGGTTATACCAATCTTTGTAATCGCTTCATCTTTAAAGCTATTAATAAAGATCTTATTCCCCAAAACCCACCGTTGTTAATCAAATCTCTAGTGATGATTTTCTGATTCAACAACCATTGTCTTCAACCATCTGCACTTGGGCTTCTTCGTCTATCACACAAAGAAGCGCGTTTTGTGTTTGCGTTCCACTATGGAAGCACCATTGCGTTCTACACCCCACACATGTTCGAAAAGTCATGTATATTAAATGCAATTTTGTATTTTTGGCGAGAAATACTATTTTGCAGTTTTGGTGTAAAAATGTAATTTTACAATTTGACATTAAAATGCTATTTTGCAATTTTGGCAGAAAAATATAATTTAACAGTTTCGGCAAAAAAATATAATTTTACAGTTTTTGTAGAAAAACAGTTTCATGGTTTTGATTAAAAAAAATGTTATCTCTTGTTTTTGGTAAGAAAATGTGATTTCATGGTTTTAACGAAAAATAAATTTTTGAGCAAAAAATGTAATTTTTTTTAAATTATTGTAAAGTATCATTTATGTCATATTGGATTATTTATCTTTAATTTGCATTTAAATGTTTGATCTAAATAAAGGTATTTTCATTTGTTATTTTGGACTCTGTAATTTCCATCCATATGATCCATTTTGGTTTACCAGCTGAATTTAATAAATTTCCCTAAATTTTTAAAACTTATCATAATGAATTATTTAGCTGTTTCTCGTTTCAGTAAACAAACATTAATCTCATCATTTTCTAGATAAGTCATCTAAATGGAGAAACGAATATGCTCTATATATTCTGATTAGATCGTAATATAAAAGGTCACACTCGAATGGGGAAATATTAAGCTTCGTAAGATTTTGATCAATTATGGATTCATGCAAATGATAAAAGTGTATAGAAAGTAAACTAATGTACAAATCGAGAGAAGACGTGAGAAAACAGCTGAAAACACACGTGAGAGATGTTTCTTTTTGGATTTTCTTAAAGTTTCAAAACAGTTAGAATGACTTTAACAACGAACGAACAAAAACTGATACAAAAGATGGTTAGTAACTACCGTTATCGAACACGGTTATAATTTTTTTTAAGCCATGAGTTTGGAAATGTATTCTCACAATTCAAGAGTACAAAAACAGATCTAGACTTATATTTTGTTAGAATATATACAAATAAGAATTTTTTTACAAAAAAATGGGTATTTTTTTTTGTCGACACTCTCATACTCGTAGATTTGGTTAGAGATTTAGTTAGCCAAGTCGGTGGAATTAAATTACCATAAAATAGATGATATAGACATCTTCGAACATTCTGTGCCAATTTATCCGCTTTCGTGTTTTGCGCGCATCAAAAACTATATCGAGAAGGGAGCAAACATGCTTTGCTTTATACCAGCGTGACAAGTTTACACGATGTTTTTCCAAGATTTTTTTAAAGTTTCAAAACAGTTAGAATGACGTTAACAAGGAACAAAAAAACTGATACAAAAGATGGTTAATTACTAACTAACCATCTTTTTCCATTCATAAAAACTGATACTAAAGAGGCATGAATTAACAATTTTTCCATTTGTATATATTTTGTTATGAGCTTATCTAAAAGGGTCTAGTATCTAAGAATCAAAGTTTTGACATAGACTTTTATGAACTTGATGATTTTATTCAACAAAAAGAAGTGTTACATTTTACAAGTAAAGCTCAACAAAACCAGTCACATTTTCGGACATTATTACTCTTATTACTACTACTACTTAACTTCCTTTTACAGTAGAGGCTCACTCCGTTCCAAACTCTCAAGCATCAGCCTTCCTTGGCCTGCCGTAGCTAGCTGGGCCACTACTGTGAGTCAAAGTGGTCTCGATGGTGTTGAACTTAACCTTCCTCGCTTCTTCGAGTGAGATTTGGTATCCGTTGCTTATGACCTCTAATGGTAAACCGCTCAAGACCGAGGTTCGTCCCGCAAGAGTGTTGATTTGTGCGTTTGCGTTTGTCTTGAACTCGATCCACTGGAACTGATCGCTTGTTGCGCGTTTCACCACGGAGAACCCTTGTGGTAGGGCAAGTAGCTGTCCTTGCGAGAGTTGTCCATCGAACACTCTGTCACCGTTGTCGTTAACCACCTGCACTTGGGCTTCTCCGTCTGTCACGTAAAGAAGCGCGTTTGCGTTTGCGTTCCACTGTGGGAGCACCATTGCGTTCTACACCCATGCACACACGTTTCGTAATGCATTATTTGATTTTAAATGGAGCAATAAATGTTTAATGTGTCTTATGATGTACTTACTTGACGGATGGATCCGCGGAGAGCTGAGAGACGAAGGAAGCGAAGGATGGGGAGATCGTAACTGTTAAGAGTGCTGATGTAACCGAGCTGTGGCTTGTACACGTCAGCATTTGACGGGTCATCGAGGTTTTCGGTGACTCTCTGGCTGCATATGGTCTCCTCTAAACCGTTTCCTACTTCTTCTTCCTGCTGAGGTCTCTGGCCTCTCAAAGGCGGCCTAATGACACTGAACGGTCCTTGGACAAAGACAATGTTCCCACGGGTGTCTTGCTGGTTCTGGAGTTGCTGCGCTGTCTGAACAGTGATCTTGAAAGCTTGAGCAAGAAACTCTGCTGTGAAGCCACTAAGGATGTTCTTTTGTGGCTGTTGCTCTCGTCCTTGTAGCCATACTTGGCCTTGTGGGTTGTTTCCGGCCAAGTAAAACGGCTACATAACAGAAAAAAGAAAAACACATTTTCATAAAACATTAGAAATATGAATTTTTATTTGAGGTTTTGGTTTATATATACCCTTGGGTTGCGATCGAGCTGGTTCTGGTTGCTGGCTAAATCCAAGACGGAAACAATGACAAGTGGTTGTTTTCCGTCGTTGTAGAACCATTGGGCTACACCGGGTGGTGTTGCGATGGTGTCGCCGCTCCTTATGTGCTCCACTTTCTGGTGCATATCACGGAAGCCTTGACCCTGACCTTGGCCCTGTCCCTGCTGGCCCTGTCCTTGTCCCTGGCCCTGTCCTTGTCCCTGGCCCTGTCCCTGTCCTTGGCCCTGGCCTCCGAAGGGTTGGAACACTGATGAGTCTTGGAATGTCTCGGCGCATCCAGGGATCACTCTTCCCATAAGACCTCGTCCTATATAATGTAACAAACCCAAAAATATATATTACATGCATAGGGCTGATAAAAAAAAAACTTTGAATAAATTAAACCCCAAAAGAATAAAATTATTAACTAAAATATATTTGAAGCCAAACCGAAACCATACGAAACAGTTCTATTAAGCTCCGCGTATGTAGCTCTAATTATGAACTCTTTAACACTTTATAAGAAGTCTGAACCTTAAAGATCACGAGTTCGAATCTCTAATCCAAAAATGTTTGCTAAAAAGAAAACAAAATGAAAAAAAAAAACGTACCTTGAGCCACGAAGGAGAGCTTTGCGGCGTTAAAGAAAGAGGGCAAGTAGAGACCCTTAGACTGGATGATGTAACGTACGAAGGCGACACCAGAGCAACGTAGCTGAGGAGCGTGATGGTCCCACACCTCGATGCGACCAGCCTCAGCCTTAAGTACGTGTGACGGCTCGAGCGCATTGAGCTGGTCTAGCTGGCACTCGTTGGGAAACTGTTGAGCTGTGTAGCCATGGAGAAGGATCAAAAGTGTTAGGGAAAAAGAGAGAAGAGATAAGAGTCGAGCCATTTTCTCTTTAACTTCTTTCTGTTGTGCTTTCTCTGCTCTTACACTTGCGTTATGTGAAGCTATTTATAGTGGGGGTTTTTTTTGGGCATAATTTGATTGAAATAAGAACCAGGTATATAGAGTCGGCTATGTACAATATACACTTTCACTTGAATTGCTGTGTTTTATGTCTTCATCTGAAAATTAAATTTGGCCTCACATTGTGAAGAAAACCTATTAATGGAGGGAGTTGACACATTTCAATTTGCATGGCTGTATTGCAGTGCATGTTTCCTACACATCAGCCTTGAGATAGGCACATGTAATAGGATAAATATTTATTTGTTGTATATAGTGGTTTTATCTTTCAACATACAATTACATCACTATATCACAATTACATTTGAAACAAGCGCTCCATCTTAATTGATTGATTAAGATCACGATAATTTTACTGTTTAATTCGAATTTTGATTTTGTTCCCGCCTGGGAATTTACCATCCATCATAAGGCATGCACCGAATGAAGCCAAAGTTTTATACAATAAAATATTTATAAATTTACGATAAATTAATAATCACTATAAATTAATAATTTTGTTAATAAATATAAAAATTAACAAATTTTAATAAAATAATAATAATAATAATTTTTGTAGAATTTTTATGCAAAAATACAATCCTAATAATTATATAATTAACACTTATACATTTAGATATATAAAAATAATATAATATAATAAAATATATTTTTATTGTTGTTTTGAATTTATAAATATTGTTTGACATACCTTTATTGATATGATATTTTTTTAGCTAAATTTATATTATTATTATTTTTTGATAAATATTAAAAATTTAAACTGAAAATATTTATATGAATTAATAAATATGGAACAGACAACATTGTTGGTAGAAACAAAAAGTAAATTTTATTGGGGTAAAATTGCTGAGTATTGTAATGACGATTGTTCATTTAATCTTTCGCATGATGGAACTTCGTGCAGAAATCATTACAAATACATAAATAAAATATTAGGCAAATGGGTTGGTGCTTACGACAGCGCTAAGCGTATGCAACAAAGCGGGTATTCGGAAAATAATGTTTTAGTGAAAGCACATGAATTATATTCAAGTGGTAAGAATGAACATTTTTTCTTTAATGTCGGAATGACTCGGTGTCAATGATCAACCACGTCATGCTAATCAGATAGGAGAGAATACTAACTCAAGAAGTACTGGATCTAAAAGAGCCCATGAGAGTGATGCAAGCGACTCCAACTCTGTAGGATATTGTACTTATCCAATAAAGAAAGATGCAGCAAAAAAAAAGGGGTAAAAGGAAAAGCAAGGGTGCAACCTAGGAAGTGGTCACTGAAGAGTGTAATAAATTCAGATAATTCAAAGAGCAAGAGTTGGAACGATAGGACAAAATAAGCATGAGGCAAGAGGATGCAAACCAATTGATGAGAGAAAGGACTCGGCTAAGAAGATGAAGATGTTTATGAAGTTAAGAGCATCTCAATGACCATAACAAATAACTTTAAAGAAGTTAAACCATAATTTATCTAGAAATTAATTGTTGTTAAGTAAATATTTAAATTTTGTCGGATTCAGCTTTAATAAGGTTGTCAACTGTCTGTTTGTATTTTCTCGCATTCTGCTTTAATAATGCTGTCAAGTATTTGTTTATATTTTCAGCTTTAATAGTATTGTTAAGTGTATGACTGTTTTTGTCGTATTTTGCTTTAATAATATTGTCAAGTGTTTGTATGTACTTTCTATTTTGTCACTTTTTACTTTAATAATGTTCGACAAGTGTCTGTATTCAACGTCATCCGTGAATCTCGGCTTTTAATGTGTGAATCATATTCATATATATTAATTCAACCACTCAACTTCTTATAAATGGAGATTCATTTTTCCATTGATGTACTAATACCATCATAAATCTCATCTTACTAACAAAAATATCAATGGATCCATCAGAATTTTCTTTTAATACTAAAGCTTCCAAAAAGCAGTGTAAAATTGAAGAGATGTATATCATCAACCGGTTTATGCAGCGTCGAAAGATAATAGACTATGCATTTCAACCACTCATTTTTTTAGAAATAGAGTCTCATTCTTCCATTAATGTACAATAAATCTCATCTTACTAACAAAAATATCAATGGATCTATCAGAATTTTCTTTTAATATCGAAGAATCTAAAAAGCAATGTAAAACTGAAGAGATGTATATCATCAACCGGTTTATGCAGCGTCGAAAGATAATAGAGGAGACTATACACCTCGTACCAAGAGAAAATATTACAATAGAGATCATGCAGCGACAAACCAAAGACTGATTGACAAAAATACTTTGCCAATCAACCTACATATGGTGATGTAATGTTTTGTAGGTGATTCAGGATGCCAAAACATATTTTCCTTTGTATCGTTGGAGACCTATTAAGGAGTGACAACTACTTCATCTAAAGAGTAAACACAACCAATAAAGAAGGTATTTCTCCATTAGCAAAATAACCTTCGGTCATATGAATGTTAGCATATAGTGTCGTAGCCGACACCATTGATAAATACATCAAAACAGGAGATACTGCATTGGAGTTCTTGCATATATTATGTAAAGAAATCATTCAATTATATGAGGAGGTGTATCTCAGGCCCCAACTCAAGATTACTTGCAAATAATCGTGCATGTTAGTGAAACACGAAGATTCCTAGGGATAATTGGGATTATTAATTGCATGCATTGAGAATGAAAAATTGTCCATAGTGTGGAAATGTCAATTTACTCAAGGAGATAAGGAAACCACCACTGTCATCGTTGAAGCTGTTGCATCTCATGATCTATGGATCTGGCATGCCTTCTTTGAATGTTCGGGCACATTGAACAATAATGTATTCCCCCGGATGCGAATAAGGTCGGAGTTGACCCCCAGTTTAACCGCCTCACGGTTTGCTTCTCCGGAAAGGTAATTTCTTCGACCAATAATGTGCTCCCCTGGGACATACGAATAAGGTCGGAGTTGATATCTCTTTTTACCTGCTTCTCCAGAAGTTTAATTCCTACGGATGGAACCGTACCCCCACGAGATACATGGCAGGGTTGGAGTTGATATTCTTTTTGCTTCTCTGGAAGCCTAACTCTCCAACCAGTACCACATTCCTAAAGATGCATAGCATGGTTAATGTGAGTTTCGCATAGACCAGTACCGTATCCCTCGGGACACAAGGCAAGGTCATCGCGTCGAATATGACCTTTCATGACAAAAAACTTAGGAAACCAGATAGCTCATGTTCATTGTACAGAAAGCGCAAAGAAGTCGACTCCCCGGCTCATTTCCAATTAGTCGAGAAGTCAAGAGCAAATGTTGAGCCCGGTTTTATCACGACCAAGGACGGCACAACACATGGACACCGAACCACCCTAAACACTGACACGGCCTGACTAGCCCGACCAACAACTCCCTAGCACATTATTCCCTGGAAGTTGGCGAGTTTTCCGAATCACGCATGCGCCACCAACCCATCTGCTCTTCTGGCACGCCGAACGGATGGGATAAGACTGAGGAGGCCTGTATAAAAGGAGAGCCATCCTTAGAAAGAAGAGGGGGGGGGGGGGGGGGGCTAGTCCTTGAACATCATCCGAAATTACACACGTACATAACATGCTCCAGCTACTCCTTGAACATCATCCGAAACTATTGAAGAGATCTCATATAGAAGATGTTTTAGCCAATGAAACCATACGGGTAGAGAGAAAGCATAATTTGCCAATCCATCAGCGAGTCTATTCGCCTCCCTGTAGATATGAGACACTCGAATTAACTAATCCCTTGAGAAGAAGCATGGCACAACCGTACTAGGAATGACAGAGGATGAATGTCACTTATCCCTCGTGTCAGAAAGCCAACTACTATCGCAGAGTTGACCTCAAGCTCTAACCGAGCTACACGCTGCTCCTATGCGATGAACAAACCATAATACACTCTCTATACTTCTGCCAACGGTGCAGAGCAAATCCCTATATTAAAAGCGAACCCTCCACGCCAAGTACCATCCCTGTCTCGCAAGGTCGACCCAGATTTCCATGGGATGCTCCATCTGTGTTAAGTTTTATCCATCCTCCACTTGGCGATATCCAGTATATTTAGTTTGAGTAATTTAAATGTAACATGGAAATGACATACAATAATAATGTAATTGTGACATGTTATTTTTTAATATATATAGCTTGTGGCGTGATATTATTTAATTTATATATAAAATTTGATGTTAAGTTTTAATATAAAAAAGTAAATATTCTAATTTTACGTAAAATTAGAAAGAAATTTGAAATAATATTTTCAATACAAAGTTTTTGTTGGAAAATTTACGATTTCAAATATTTGGTGAGAACTTTGTGTCAACCAATTTTGCCAAAGAGTTTTTGAAATCATATTTTTAACAGAAAATTTATAGATTCATAATTTTTGGTTAAAAATTCACAATATCAAATTACTGACAAAAAAAACTAAATCACATTTATAAATTAATTTTTCACTTCTTTGGCGGTCACATATTCACTTCTCTAAGAAACATTTATAACGTCATCATGAACAGGAAATTTTAGAAATCATAGTTCATCTTCAATGTAAACAATTTGATACCTAATTTACACACGTCCGAAATTACACACGTACATAACATGCTCCAGCTACTCCTTGAACATCATCCGAAACTATTGAAGAGATCTCATATAGAAGATGTTTTAGCCAATGAAACCATACGGGTAGAGAGAAAGCATAATTTGCCAATCCATCAGCGAGTCTATTCGCCTCCCTGTAGACATGAGACACTCGAATTAACTAATCCCTTGAGAAGAAGCATGGCACAACCGTACTAGGAATGACAGAGGATGAATGTCACTTATCCCTCGTGTCAGAAAGCCAACTAATATCGCAGAGTTGACCTCAAGCTCTAACCGAGCTACACGCTGCTCCTATGCGATGAACAAACCGTAATACACTCTCTATACTTCTGCCAACGGTGCAGAGCAAATCCCTATATTAAGAGCGAACCCTCCACGCCAAGTACCATCCCTGTCTCGCAAGGTCGACCCAGATTTCCATGGGATGCTCCATCTGTGTTAAGTTTTATCCATCCTCCACTTGGTGATATCCAGTATATTTAGTTTGAG